ATGTAAGCAAGTTATAGCTTTGTTTAGTAATTCAGCACTTCTGATGTCAATATTATTCATTAATCTCTGTAGGTTAAAAGAATTTCTTACTGACAGTGTACTGATTTCAAAGCTAGTTTGGGTCCAGAAGCTATAGCTGCTTTCATAAGCATGGAGTCCAAGCTAGTTAAATCCTGCTAACAAAGACATTGTTCTACACACAATCAGCTCATGTATCTCTATATCGTATTAGCAGAACCAGGGATGTACTACAAGGACACCTGACTACACAGCTCATGCTGTCAGGACTCATCAGCTCCAGCTTAGTACTGCTCTTTCCACTCCAGGGTTTCTAGGCCACATTCCATAGTAAAGGAGATTCTAGGACAGTGTTTCAGTCAAGCTAAACACCAGCTCTGAACCAGCCCGGTACTGCTACTAGTTCTACAAGCGTGTGGGGGAAACTGGTACTTGCACAGGTGCTATCAAGAGTCAGGAAGGCTGGCACCAAAACAAAATTAAGCCCTGTTAAACTAATCCCAAGCAGTTGAGCACACCCACACAGCATTCTACTCATTAGCTCAGGTAAACATGCTCTCTGCCATCAGAGGAACATAGATCTTCCAAATACAAGACCGTCCAAATAATTTTCTTCCACCATATGCATATTAGAAGGGGCTAATTGGAAAGGTTAGAAGAAAATCTGGCACTTTTGAAAAGGGTAGCAGAAGAATGAACTACGTGACTGGTTTGCCTCATAATACTATTTTTCAGCATCAGGGGAAAGCTTCTGAATAAATATTCAGTTATAATGGCAACATGAGATTAGGACCACCTGCACTTCCTGCAAACAGCGAGTTCACTTTCTACTACCATTGCACTACTGAATCAGAGGCCTAATCAACATTAACATAATTTGATTATGAGTATTTAAACAGAGCCATCTTCATTATTCTCCTCATTATTCCCAACATGAAAATACAGTGTGAAAAATACCTCACACTGCTCTTCATGAAGAGAATGAAGAAGGGAAAAATCCTACCTAGTAAGTCAGAATTGCCTTTATCCTTCAAAAGGACTTCAGAAGACACTTGAGGAATATCAGCTTGAAGATGTCTATTCTTGCTGCAAAAGTGAGCTAATCCCAACATCAGCAAAACTAGAGTCCAGACATCTGTTTATACCTGCAGATAAGTAAACTACACCAAAATACAGATGTCTTCTAGTACAGTAAAGAGATTTAAATCTGTATTTGAAGCAGAAAAATTAATCCAGAAAAAGTTCAAGTTACCTGTGCCAGAAAGACATTCCTTAGAGGTGTATATAGAGGGAAGATGGTGTCTCACACCTGAAGAGAAGCTGCTCTGAATAATCTCTTCCAAAAGCAGTCACTTTGTGGAAGCCTCTTAGTACCTGAATGTTTTACCCATATGTGCCAGAAAGATCATAATTTGCAACCACTGGGGAACATTTACTATTTCAGATGTTAGGAATTTAAAAAAAAAAAAAGTCACCTTCATATGATACATTGACCTTATAAATACTCGTTGAAGGAGAATGGAAAACTACTTCCTCTAAGAACAACTCACCACCTTAATAATTACCTTATCTCAGGGAAGCTTTCTTGCTATTCAGAACAAGTTCCCTATTGTACCATGATCTCTCCTCATCTGGAAGCAAGAATGTTTACCACAGAGGCCTTGGCCATGTTGGAGAAAAATTGGGGAGGACAAAATGGAGTGAAAATATTTTAAAAGCTACAGAAAAACAGAACATAGCAGATCGCAAAAAGTTGAGGTTTTTAATATATGTAGCTGCAGAACTAACACAGCTGAATGTTAACACTTCTAAAGTCACTATTCAGTGACTGTACTTTGTTTCACATGTCTACATTCTAAAGTGTTGGACAGTTCCAGGTTTGAACAAGTTTATCCTAGGAAATTTGATTTCTTAATATACACAACAAGAACCACCTATGCTGAAGAGCAAGCTAAGCAAAGGTCTTTTGTAAGGTCAGGTGAAATTTATCTGCCCAATACTTTATCTTATCTGCAGGTGAGTACTCTGAAGTCCAATACCAACAATAGAAAGCAAAATGCTTATTTAACTACTGCAACATGCAGCATGACAAAGTGAAAACATTTTAATTAGGTTTTAAACTTCTAACAGTGTTTAAAACAGAATCACTTCTGTTCAGTATTTGAGCCTGTTAAATCTACCATCTATAATCACAAATATCTATTCAGTGTTACTTTGGAATTAAGGCGATGCACTGCTATCCAACAATGCAAGACAAAACTCAGGAAGACATCTTCCTTTATGAGGTAGCTCATTTAAATCATTGCAGTAGTTTAATTAGAGGAATAAGTATGACAAATGCAAAGACCCCCCTGCTTTTGAATCATAGTATAGCACTGTAGAGATCTGTGAACTTTTTTTGTGTCAGTAGTCAATCATGTATCAACTAATGATTAGTAACCATGATTGGCAGACTAGTCAGGTCTATAGTAAGAAGGACAACTACACTAATCAACTGAGTATGGATCACATAAGGTTCCAGAACAGTGAAAAATGAAACTGGTAACATTCTCTAGCTGTTGCAGAATCAGTGAAAAACTGAAAAAAGATGTGGGGAGGAAGGTACACACACATGCATGTACACATTTTCCTTTACACTTGTGAGGCTTAGAGCAAAGCTGGAGTTTACAGTCTAATCTTATGGAAAGATGCCAACATACTACATCTGAAACCATGGAAGAGTCTTTACTATTTTCCCTATGCAAAAGGTCAGCAATGTGCTATACATATACACACATACATGCAATGTTATACAGTTGTAACATGCCAAAACAATCTCCCCCCCCCCCCCCCCCC